GAGCTATGTGCGCGTTACTTAAGGAAAGATGGAGAGAGAAAATCGCCCTTGAGGAGTTCACCAGTCTTAACCACATCAGAAGAGCTGCTTGCTAGATCCCTGCCCAACTCTTAAACTAGAACCGGCTTCCTGGGAGCTTAAGACTAAAAAGAAAAGAAAAGAAAAAAGAAAAAAAAAAGGAAGAGGGGTGGGAATGCATCGAACATTCCCCCTGCTTTCGTTGCATAATTCACTCAGAACCTGCCAGGTGACCTGCTGACTTTGTTTTCTGTCTTGATCGTGCTTCATACCACCGCCCCCCTTGCCGCGGGGCAGCACCACACTGAGAGGGCCCCGCGCGGCTGCGGAGCTGGCAGACTCTACTTGTCACCCCAGGCTTTGGACCGACTTCAAGATCCGGCCCCAGAGGCCCGCCTCCCACCGACTCCTGAGCTCCGGCCGGTGGCGAGGGCACCAGGGGGCGTCCTTCCCGCTCGAACCCGTGCGAACGTGCACCTGGCCTCCCCTTGCTCCAGGCTGCTGCTTCAGGTCCCCCCACTCCAGCAGACGGTGCGTCCAGCCCATCCACCCTTGGGGACCTGCGACCCAGGTGAAACTTGTGAAGACAGACGGATCTGATTAGCACACGCTGGTCTTTAGGGCGGTTGCTCGGCATATTTAATGTGAAATGGGGTCAAACGGCCGTGTAGAAGCATGGAGACTAGGGGAAAGAAGGCTCCAGGGGTGGAGGGATGAGAAAGGGTTCAAGTCTTTAGAGATCTCAGTGAGGACAGAGAGTGGGAATTAGGGAGCCAGCTTTGCGAGCTCACAGTGGGATGCCACACTACAGTGACTTAACAGGGACCTGAATGGTATTGGGAGCAAACCTACTGATCAGCATCAGATGCACACAAGCAACGACATCCCAATTGCTCTCAGAACTTCAGGTCCTGGCTGAGCTGCCACCAAGAACCTGGCCTTCACCTTCCCAAAGTTGGGGATAGGAGGGGAGTAGGAGAGGCCTAGGAAGTGCTATGAAGGACATGGGAAACCCATAATATGACGGCCTTTCAGCAGGCTGCCCTTCAGCAGGCCTCCTCTAGCCACCACAAAGGCCAGTCAGCTTTCCCTTTCCAAAGGTGAGCCCAGGCAAGGAGAATAAAGCCTCCCTGAGGCCCAGGTATGCCAACTATTAATATGCATTCTCAGTGATGGTTCTACTTCCCTCCAGAGCAATTTTTACACTCTAAATATATTCTTTTTGAGAATGAAAGAAATAATGTCGAAAGAACACCAATGACCCATTTGCCTGAGAATCAGGAAGTTATTGCAACTTTCAGAAGGACTTAGGACAACAGGTGGAGCGCCAAATTGGAACGGATGTACCATTATTCAGGCTTGCGATGTGATACAAATTAGCACAACTCGGAAAACTACAGCTAGAAATGAATTCTGAGTGGTTAAGAAGGTGGCCCAGCTGACAGTGGGAGGGGTCCATTTCCCTATATACCCTCAGTGCCTAATGTCTACAGGCAGAACTGTAAGAGTTCAGAACTGTGACGCTCACCACTGAAGGAAAGTGACTGGTTTTAGGAACAAATTCTGAATGGCTCTAATGTTACAACAGCCTGACACAAACATATGCAGAAAGCTTGGAAAATCAAAAGTTCAAGTTGTGTAGTGTTTGGTCAATTCTTGAAAAAGAGATTAAACTTTTCTTCTATACTGAGCAAGCCTTTGCCATTCATAAGACACTGACTTTCCAAGTGTTTTACTTGAAGCATTAGTGGGCGTTCCCACTGTCTTTGCTTTTTTCTTTCTTCAAAATATTCCTTGAAAGCTCTAATGTAAATATGATAGATTACGTAGCTCAGCTTAAATGACTCAAAAAACACGAAGCTATAGAATTCAGAAATGCTCACTTTTTAAAATGTGAAAAAAATGTGTTCTTTGAGAAGGGAGGACAAGGTGGGACAGTAATTTGCTGAGTTGTTTTACTAATGAGAATTTCTGAAGTCTAGCTTCAGTGAGTTTGCCACATCTTCTGAAGAGATCGTCTTGATTTTGCTAACGTTTCTGTAACGATTTCTACCAAAAATATTTAAAACATGAAGCCCTCTGCTTCCAGTCCTTGGATTCCTTACCCAAGGTACATTATTTCATTATAATTTTGGCAATATTCAGGGTACATAATTGCAAAAATATTTTATTTATTTTTTTATTTTATGTGTATGCGTGTCCTGCCTGCATGTAGGTAAGTGCACCCATGTCATGCAATGCCCGTTGAGGACGGAAGAGGCTGTTGGATCCCCTCGAATTAGAGTTACTAGAC